AGCCTCCAAAAGCCACAGCAGAAATAGAACATCATTCCGCACTCAGGATTTAGTATAGCTCACCATCATTTGAAAATTCATGATAAAGTTTAGAAACAAAAGCTAAAGAAAATGAAAATCAAAGTTTCATTAACAATGCAAATCTCAATAAGATGAACACAGCAGAGAAATTTAAATATGTCTGTACAATATAATGCCAAGGAGAAAAATGAAGATTCACAAGTGCAAATGAATAAGAGGAGTTAGTTCACATGGAGGTGGATTGCCCTACTATTAGTGGAGGGCTTTTTGCTGCATGATGACATCATCATGCAGTGGCACAATTCATATAAAATTAGGTGAGATTTGCCTCAAGGCTAGTAGCATGCAAGCCTCTTTGGTAGATGCACTAAGAAAAATAGTTAATCTTTGTGAAGATGTAAATTATTATCTCAAAAGCTGTGAGGGCACAGTGTCATATGGCCATGGAGGAAACTTATTACATCATTTGTTTTATTCAAAATAATATTGGTGGAACTACCTGTGCTCCCATGGTACACAAACATGCTTTTCGTGATAACTAAAACTGCATAAAATATATTATCACATATTCTTCCTTGATTTAGATCTCAATATCTTGGTATGTTCTTCTCTGAAATACTGACATGGATAATTAATTCATTGTACTTCAAGAAGAACATTTTTCAAAATAATTTATGCAGTATTATGGAGACACTGGTTCATAATAAAAGCATACATAATCATTTGCTTGGAATCACAACTGATGTGAAGTCGGATTCTGATTTATTAAATAAAAAGCTTAAAATTATATCTTACACAAAACATATATCTATACATCAGAAAATAGCTAACTGTTAAAAATATAAATTACAAGTATCTCCAATCATGCTCTGATGGCAGTTAACTCTTCTGCCACTGACTCTTGCAGTTACTGAATTGTCACAAAGGAAAAAAGTTAAACACCACAATGAAATACTGTAAGTTAAGTGAAAGCCTGTTTGGACTTCTAATTAGTATAGATGTAGCATAAAAACACACAAACTTAATTTAGTTTTATCAGAGTAATGGTAAGTAACACTACATATATAAAATTGCAGTTATTTTTTAATGGTAAAGACACAATGTCTTGCCACTTTCTAATTTCACAACTGATTAGTACAACTTTAGCAATCTCCTGATTATATGCCTAGTGATTTTACAAGAAAATTAACCAGAGGACACTTTTTCTTCACTTTCTTTGTCTTCTGGTTTGTCTCATTCATTAGTGTCATCAAACCAGAATCTAATATTAAGTGCCAGCTGAACACAAGTTTTGAATTCTTCTGTCTCACTTTTTTTTCTGATATGGAGATACAATAAACAAAATTCAATGGCAGATGAATTAACTGCCATCAGGGGCATAGATCCGAGATACTCGTAACTTGTATGTTTAAAAAGGGTTCCAATAAGACACAGGTGTTTGCCATTATTATTGAAAGAACAATGAGGTAAGTACATTTTTGTAACTCTTTCCATACAGGCATCCTTTTCTCTGCATTTCATAAGTTTTTACTGAGTTACATTCAGAATTTAATTAAATTACTTTACTATCCTGGTATATGAATACATTTATCATTGAAACATAGTTTATAATTCAAATTTTAATATTATACGTTTTAAGTACTTAATAAGGTTGGTTGATTGTTGGGAGTTTAATGGTGCAAAGCAATGTGGTTATCTGTGCCAAACAACCTTTAAAAAGGTAAAAAAAATGCAAAACTCTATAAAAAATTGCCCCAAAATCAGGGAAAAATTAAATAGATTTAAAAAGGGCCAGTGGCTGGTAAAAGCTAAAAACACAATTGAGCTGGACAGTCACCATCATCAAGGACACTGTCCAACATCAGGTGTAAATACTTAGAAAAGACATGTCTAAAATGGTGCTGCTGTTCACATTCATGAAAGTAAAATGTGGGCAATTGTGAATTGACTGTTACAAAGGCCATACAGTGGTAGATCAGTCATACATAAAAGAAACTGATGAGTTCAAAAACTGTGACCAATGTATATCCTAGACAAGACAACTTCCTCCCTCCGATCCTCAAGGAAACTAGACAGCCAAAGAACAACAGAAGGTTTGATTTGTAAAAACTTATGAATTTGCTCACCTCAAATCAACTGCCAACTGACATGAAGCCATGCCTTGATCACAGGATCATAGTCCATATTTGGAACAGATATGACTCTGACAATGTCAGAGCAGACAGACTTAGCTGCAATGTCAGCAAGCTCATTGCCACAAATACTGACATGATAAGGTATCTAAAAAATTGGATAGAAATGAATGACAGAGAAAATTGGGCCAGTCATTTCTGAATGTCCAATAAACAGGGTGAGAACTCACACTTAGCAATTCCAGAGCCAGTAGAGAGCTAAGAGAGTCAGTGTTGATAATGAAGTTAGTGTACTGCTTAGCTTCTATGTGATACAAGGCACAAAAATGGCATACAACTCAACACTAAACACAGAAACTGTACAGGGGATCCTGTGAACAACTAATGAACCACAACAAACTATGGCAAAACCCACAGAGTCACCTGATTTGGAACCATCTGTAAAGATTGGAAAAGAAGAAGGGTTTGAAAGACATTCAGTAAAGAGACAAAGGCACTTCCAATCAGGAGTAACCGCCCTCCTCAGATGACACAAAAAAAAAGTTACAGGTTGGGGTGGTAATGAGCCATGGAGGAATGGGATGATCTTCAGACTCAGCAGTATCATCCAATGACAGATCAAATTCAGCCAGCTGTGCCTAGATACGAAGGCCAAATGGAGGAATGGCAGACTAATTCTCAAAGATTAAAGCCCACCAAGGAAGGAAGACTCAACCCCAGGTGGGATGCCATGGTAAGGATCATAGCTTGGTAGCATATAGCAATGAAAGTTGCAAATGCCTGAGGTGAAGAGGAGGTTCATAGGACTCAGTGTACAGAAACTGGATTGGTGAATTACATAAAGCTCCCATGCAGAGCTAAATCCATATGGTGCACAGGGTCCAGAATTTTAAAGGCAGAGTCCCTAACTGAACCAGAGACCTATAGTCCAGCTTTAATCATATGAGAGCATGACAGATCTTGAGCATGGAACATCTATCCACTCCCAAAGAAGTGGAAGAGAGGATGCAGTGGATGTTCAGTGCCCTAGTACACTTGACACACAGCTGCTTAATATGAGGAATAAATGTAAGCTTATGGTCAAGTCCCAGGAGCTTAGTCTCAGCCACCATGAGAATAACATCATCACTGAGATGGAGCTCTGGATCAGGATGCAAACCATGCAAGTGGCAAAATGTACAAAAACGATTTTACAGGAATGCGAATACTTTTATAAGGCAATACTTTTTTAAAAACCGCCAATTTCCCCTAGTATGAGAATTGTGATAGTTGCTCCAACTTATTTACCACTCCTCCAAGAAGTATGTAATTTAACATAAATTATTTATTATAATATTATTCAGGCAAGGCATAATTTTTAAAGCCTTCAATCTTATTTGGTTACAGAGTCATAAACTACAAAATCAGACCCCTCTTACCACACTCACCTGCCAAAGTTTGAATCTATCAAATGACATACTACATTGTTTTCTGTACAGAGAATTGTTTATTTCCCTTCCAATTCAAAGTTTATTCCCATAGGATACACATCAACTAGCTTAGCTGAATGTTTAATGTCACTTATCACAGTTAGAAAGCCAGAAAAATTATGATAGTTATTGGACATTTTTTTTTTTAAGTGTTATTATTCTGTGTCCTTAGGTGCATTACTTAATTAAATAAAAACTTACTTACACCAGTAGTATCATTAGTATAAAAATGTACGGTTAAATTTCATTGAGAGTCAACAGCAAAAAATAAAAATAAAAGGAAGACTCAAGTAAGTATTACATTTCTTGTTTTTCATGTGTTCTTTATTTTTTATTACTATAAAAGAAACTAAAAAAGGAAAAATAAGAAACTTATTAGGTTGAATTAAGTAAGATAATGAACAAAAAATTCTCCATTAGATATGCTCACAAGCAGCTCTTGCGTTATGCAATTCAATACAGTAATGTGAACTACACATTTGTTAAGTGATATACAACTTGTGTGGTGGGATTATTAGTTATACATGATTCAAGTGGAAATAAAACAATAAAATTTAAGTATAGCAAATGCATACTGTTATTAGTTTTAAGCTATTTAGGATAAACAAATGTAGTTTAATGTTATAGTTTGAAATCATCCTAGAAAGAAAAAAAAGGGTAATTTGAGTTATTTTGTATTTTTTATGATGGTTATGAGGTTGGTCAAATCAACCAATTTCATACAGAGTTAAAGTAGAGAAAATAACAAACAAAATATATAGTTTTACTAAAAATAGTTGCAATTTATTTAGGAGGTTTTAGAAATTATGCAAATAAAATTTGACAATTTTCATATGAAGGAATGTATTTTTAATCTTAACATGGAAATCACTTTGCACTTGGAGCAGTCAACATTTTGACCCAATATATTCATGAAGAAAATGTTTAGTGAAAATACTTCATTAATAATACTGGTTTTTGTCTGCAAAAGACTGTTACTGCTTACTGAAAGCTTACAAAATTTTGTGTAGTTACACAAAACATACTGGAAGTTATAGTATAGAAATTTTAAAGGTCAATTTGGAGTCATGAGCTTGGTAAATTTGACTGAGCCCACAGCGAGAGCATTAAAGGGCTTGGGATTAACAGAAAGCTTTAGTTTGAAAGTCAGTAGTTCTATTGTTAGAAGTAGCTCATATTTTTGTTTTGTAGTCATTCATCTTGAAGGCCAAGTAGCTATTAATTTGGACAAGTCAGCCTGACAAAGATTTACAATTTCTTAAAAAAAGTGTGGGTGGGGGCACTTAAATAAGTGACTGTATTATGAAAATATATATATGTATTGAAAAAGCCATATATGTACTTCTGGAAGATAATTATACTTTTATTCTGATCTTACCTTTCTTTCTAATAGTAACAGTTTAAATAACAGCAGGGTTTTGTGTTTGAATGTCAAAATTAGATCTCGAGCAGGAAGACCTAAAATAGAAATGAAACAAGACATCAGACTATTGTGTTGTTAATGTTCATAAAATATGATGAATTAAATCTTTCAAGATTTTAACTATCTTATAATTCTGCAGAAAACATAAGCTTTAGAAATTTCCTAAGTGTTATAAAAAAGAAGTTAGGGATGTGCAGCAAAACATATTCAATGTTAATAATGCTTGGAGACTTGTACTTGTACCTGATGATGACAGAACCTTGTTGAAACATTGTGCATTTGCTGTTATGTTAAACTTATATTAAAGTTTTTCTTCATTACCCATTCAAGCCATCTCCAAGCATTATTAGTCTCAAAGTGGGTTCCTCATCATCGAATACTCAATGTTACCTTTTCTTCTTACCATTTAGTTTGGTGTTTTGATTTTGTTTAAAAATAGTGTAGAATACTATCACATAATATAAAAAGAAATTGAAAGGTTCTTTGAGAGTAGAGATTCATTGACAAATGATAAAGAAAATCTGTTGACTTTTCAGTATATTTCATATTTAGATAATTGTATTGAAGATTTTTTATGTTTATAAACAACACATCATTATATATATCCATTTCAAGCTTTACGTGCATTTCAATTTCCTATACCTAAGTAAATTTGATATATATATATATATATATATTGAATATAATGTAGATAGGAAAATGCCCTATCATTCTACTTTTTTCATATTCATTTTATTTTTTGCCTTATAAGTCTTCATGTTACTCATATTGTATGTGAACAAATGTAAAAGAATTTGTCCCAAAATTATCCACAAAATGTTCAGTTTATAGTTATGGTGCTAACCTACAGAAATAATAAAAAAGAAGGTTTCATTAAGTAAAAACAAAACAAAAACGTAAATGGAATAAATAAATAAAATGAAAAAATATATAATATACATGTGCAATATAAATCCAAGAGAAATTACTACCCAATGCAAAAATTTATTTTGTAACAGAAAATTAAAAAACATCTACCAATCAATATGCTTACAATGACCATTTATCACTGATATAATGAAGCCCACTTTCTGAAAGTTTAATGGATTCTTTTCAGATGGTAGAAACCAAATGTAGCTATAATAATTTTGAAACAAAACAAAGTATGTGAAGAATTCAAGTATTTATAAAAACAAATAACATGAACTGGCACACAAGTTTAATTACAAAATGTTAATTCTAAAAACAAACTTTTGTATAATTTAAAGGAATTACAGCAGCATACAGTTCCATGGTGTTTAATATACCTAAAAATACTTGTGTTCCCCACACTAGATCAGGGGTAAGTAATGAATTTAAGTTCTTGTAAGTTTCTTCTAACAGTGCCACTTTACTGAAGTCTCTCTCATCAAAGTAAGCATGTGTAATGAGCTCCAATTTGGCTTGAATTAGTCCATAGAGAGGAAGATAAGATAGCACACAAACACTTTTTTGTACAGTTCCTCTAGTTACGTCCAGACTGCGATTTATCAACATCTGAAAAAAAAAGCAGAATGGGTTTTAAATTATAATAAAAAAACAAAAACTTGCTAAATGAAGCATGTTCAAAGCTGATATTATCAAAATATTATATATGTGAATAAAATAAAAATGACCAGGAAATGTAGAATTCTCTAGATTAACATAGTTTTTCTGGCACCCACTGATGGTGGGTTAATATTCTTGAATAAATGATACAACATTATTTGCAGTAGCAGCAAAATTTTCTAAGCCAGCAATAAAAATTATTTTTTTCTAAATAACTGCGAACCATACCACCTGATAGCAGCTTTTGGGCAAGAAAGCCTAGGTTGTTTTTAATAATACTTTACCAAGGAACCCAAAACAATTTTTACAAGATAGCTTGAAGTAAATCTACATGTACTAAGTAGAGATTTTAAATTTTAACAGGTTTTTCAACTGCACAACAAGGAAAAATTGGGTTTATTTTAGAGACATGCTAAAAAAAAGCAGGGCACATTTTTAGGAAAAAATAGGATATAATAGTAAACTAACAAGGTAATAAATTGGCATGACATTTAATTTTATTATAGTAATTAAACGTAAGTTAGTATTTTATTAAACAGAAAATGTATTTCCTATAGATACTTATCACTTCTGACAAAAAACTTTTCTTGGCTTACACTGTCCTCTATTGGAGCAAATATTTGCTAAACATTAGCCTTAATACTCCCACTTACCCTCACATATGTTAACATGCAAATGATTATGCAGCAACCCTCCACCAATAGGAGTGGGACACTACCCCTAACATAACAAGTAACCTCAACCAACACCTGGCAGCATCTGGAATTGTACATCAGGTCCGTGGTAGGAAAAGGGTCCTCTACCTTTCACCTCAAAAACATGTATTGATAGGGAAGAGAAGCTTCCCTATCAAGAATATGTGCACACCCTCAATTCAACCAACACCATATTCACTAAGAACCAACATCCAGTGGATGGTAGGAAGGTGGAGAGTCCAGGTTGGTTTTCATTTCCCATCCAAAACCTGGCAGCAATGGGGATTTTTTATCTAGTCCAGAGTAGGAGGAGAGTACCCTGCCTTACATATGTGGGAATTCCTGTGTCTCATTTAGCTACAAACAACACCAGATCCACTGGGAATTGGCAGATGGTAGGAAGGATGGTGCCTCAGCCAGAGGGACAAACTGCAATATGTATATATGGCAGAGTGCTACATCCAACACCAAGTGGTATCTAGAAAAGAACATCAGGTCCACAGTATGAAGGGCATCATGTCTTCTATATTGGCAGAATGCCACCACCCTACTCTCAACTGAGTGGTATTGTGCACACTCAGGAAGACAGGCCTCTGTGGTCCACCACCCCAGTGGCTAGATATTGGTAAGTGGCAAGGGCTCCCATACTCCACAAGACGGAGGAAAAGGTGCATTGGAGAGTCCAGAGGACTGCAGCACTGGAAAAAGTGCATTTGGTGACCACGATACCCTATTTTGAAAAGCCCAATGATCACACTGACAGAGTCAATCAACCAACACCTGCTGACATTTGAAATTTACATCAGGTCTGCATTAGAAAGAGCCTCAAATGCCATAAACCATCAGAAATAACCAGTAATCCCACTTTACTCACATTATCCCATGAATGTACTGTCCAGAATGAACATACATATGAAGTAAAATACTGCAAAGTATACCTCTTTGTGGTATTGCAGAACACCCCATCTCAACAGTGGGCATAATATCCCCTAGTTATGTGTAATAACAGTGTATTTTGAAAAGCATAGAGATCATGTTGATGAAGTTGATCAATCAACACCTGGTGGCATCTGGAATAGTACATCAAGTCTGTAGTAAGAAGAGCCTCAATGGAAATGAGCAGCCAGGGACAGGACAAAATGGCTAATATGAAGGAAAATGCATGGAAAAGACAAAATGAATCTGGATAAGGGACAAATAAGCCAGGAGAATCTACTGGCAAATCCTACCATAATGGTAATTGGATAATGGTGATGGAACTGGGAAAGATTCCAAGGATGAAACAACGGGAGCAATAACCATGGAAGCAATCAGTGCACGCCCCATAACAGGGAAAAGCCCCAACCAGGCAGTGGCAAATGATCTGCAATGAGATACAGGGCACGCAGAATATGACAAGCCAACACAGGAGGACCAGATGTCACATAACTGAGTGCCCACTTGCCTAAAGATGTACAAGACTAGACATGGGTAATTAGAAAACACTACCACCAACTGTCTCTGTAGGGCTGGATGGAAGTGAACCTGAGCCCAACAAACTGGAGAAAGCTGGGTCTAACTGAGCAGAGAATAAAACAACACCCCCAAGATGAACAAGGTATGGCTTGGGGGTGAAGAAACAAAATGTTTCTACCCTCACCAACTAATCAACCAAAGCCTCTACTGTTAGAAGATATGAGTAAGAAAAGGCAGGATCAGCTTATGAGAAAGCCAGACATTCATGCCATGGTGGAAACCATGGTCCCTGGAAAGGAACAAGAAGATGGGCAGACTCAGACTATCCGAACTGTAAGGATCTGAGGAGAGGTCCAATGGAGTTTGGACTGAAACACACAACCCCAATGGACTTAAAGAAAATCAAAATGGAGAGGATAAATTAATGAGGAGAAATGCATCTAACACAACACCCTTGTCCTCCACAAACCAGGTGGGAATACCCAACAAAGGATTAATTACAACCTCATGGTGAAATGTGAAAGGACTAATAAATGGTATAGAATCGACCGAGCGATGATAGAGCACCAGTACCCTAACTTCGAAGAAACAACAAACAGATGGGAATAAGAACCCCAAATATAGGGATCTCCCTGTATGATGGCACCCTTGCAAAGTAAATTCCAAACCACCTCCTAAATACTCTGGTATGAAATGGATACCTGAGGAGAAGAGAAATTCTATAAAGGACCTGTCCAAATGTGATCACCTCAGAACAAAAGGATCTGCGAAATTATCTCTAAACTTGGGCAACGCTGTTTAAACATTGTTGTACCATGTCTGATGGAGTAAGAATGTTTGTATAATGTAGAGCAAAGCCAAAATAGGCTAATTGCTGTTTCCACAAAGTGTAATAGAACCCTGAACCCTACTGTTGGAAGTCCATATACATAACACTGTCTCACCAAGGGGGCATGAACCTGGCCCCAACTGGATCTGACCCCCCAAAGTCACTAAGACCATTGGCTGACCTGAAAACAGCACCCAAAGACAGCGAACTGCAAACATTCGGGAGGCCAGAAACAACCAGGGGGAGGAACTGGGACAAGGTGGATTTGGGAGAAAAGAAAGGCCAAGTGAAGTTATGCAACAGGGCTGACCTAACCCTGGGCTCCTGATATTCAGGAACATCCCCCCAAAAAAACACTTTGTACAAAACTAAAGTGCCATACTCTAAAACCAAATTAAGGAGGTTTGATCCCCACAAAGGGACAAACTACTTCAAACTATGGAGGAAAGGAAAAACAACAACGTTCCAGAGCATGGTCATTCAAAGTATGTGAGGGTCAAGATATACGTACCCTCAAACTTAACTAGCACCCAAGACTACTCTCGGGAAGCCGTATACCCAAGTGGTGCAGGGAATACTAAAACTGACTCCATAGCTCATCACTAAGAGGGGCAGGAATAGAATGAAAAGAAAGAGGAGGGAATGATAAAACATATCATACCCGATTGAATAGATCTAACAAAGGGAAAAGGAGGCCAAGACACCTCACTTGAAATGACATGCGACTTTGAGCCATAGGCAGGAGGAGGAACTAGGCAGCTCAAACCTTTGTCATAACGTATATGCTTAACATTACAAGGTATAAGAGAACAATCATCAGGTGCCCAGAAGTCTGCAAAAATGTAACCAACTCCTGTCAAACCAGCCATTACATTCCAAGCTGATAAGATTATCAGACATCTTTGAAGTGGCAGACAAATAAACTGTAGTAGTTATGGCCATTGAAGTAGTAGCCAAACAGAATTGCACATATATGAGCAGAGTTGACAGGTAAAAAAGTTTTTTAACTCCAAAAAACAAAACAAGTCTCAAAACCATACATATCTCGAAAAAACATTATGGCCAATAAAAAAAACATAAGCAGCCAAAAATTTTAACTACAAACTTTGGCAATGAAGCAAAAAAATTAGTCTGAAAACACTAGCAAAAACACATCCAAATTGTAAGGCTGTCAGTCAAGAAGTGATTAAGGGCTGCAAGATTAGAGAGGGCACTAGTTACAATATAGGAGTAGTGCTGCACTCCTTTGGTGGAGGGTTGCTGCATAATCATTTGCATGCAATTTTGCAGATATCTCACGTTAACATGCATGAGGGTATCAAGCTAGTGACAAGTGAAAATTCGGGCCGATAGAGGAGAGCAGTGTAAGTTGAGAAAAGCTTTTTGTGAGAAGAGATAAGTATTTAATAATGGTTGGAGATGACTTGAATGGGTAATGAAGAAAAACTTTAATATAAGTTTAACATAACAGCAAATGTACAATGTTTTGACAAGGTTTTGTCATCATCAGGTACAAAACAAAACCCTGTCGAAACATTGTACATTTGCTGTTATGTTAAACTTATATTAAAGTTTTTCTTCATTACCCATTCAAGCCATCTCCAACAATTATTAGTCTCAAAGTGTGTTCCTCATCATCAAAGATAAGTATTTAGTAATTAATGAGTTCAGGTTTGTCATATTTTTACATGATTAATACATGTATCAAAGTCTCTCAATACCAAGAAAACTTACAGAAACCACCTCAGTAAAATCTGAAAACATTTGTGTCAGATTTAGTCAAAAGGGTTCTATTACAACAATCAACCTGAAAATGTAACACATAAACTCTTTCCCTTCTCCAAGTGAAAAAGTTGGAAGGACTGCAGTTAAAGCTTTGCAATATGTGGAAAAAATCTTAATATCATTCTCTATCCCCTTATTTTATTTACCTTCATATTATTATTTTTTTTTTGGTATTTAAAGCAAAGAGATAGTATAAGTGAAAAGTAAACCTATAAATATTACCACTATTAATTTTCGATTCATTCTGACTGTTAGTAATAGTGATAGCAGGGAAGTATCAACACCTTACTGCAAATCTTAGTTCCTTTAATGATCTTCACAAAGTTTTACTCATGTCTAGGTAGAAAACCTATTCCAAAATGATCCACTTACCTCTCTGCACATAGTTGCTATTTCTTATAGAACTGCCATTGAGATTTAATGCACCATTAGCCTTGAACTATCTACAAACAAAATTACATGTTTTGACATGAACTATGCTAGTACATGATGTAATCATTGTGCAGCAATAGCCCTTCACCAATAGGAGGATGAGACATCCTCCATGCATGGTAGATCTCCATAAACACTTGAACTAGAAATTAAATTCATTCTTAAGTTCAGCACCTGTACTACCTCTACTAGGTTTGTTTACAGAACTCGAGACACCATGCAATGTTATGTTTCAAAACTCCCCATATTTTCTAACTTGTCTTTGGCTGCTGACAATTCTTTGTGTACTGAAGATGTTACCAACAGTTTTCATAGTTAACACATTTTGCTTTCCTTCCCAGTTACTCTATCTACTGTGCATTCTCCATTCATGAGAGTGATCATGAGGTCAACATTTTTGTCCAACTCTTTCCATTGCCTGGTTTTGCCTTGGTCTTACTGTTCACTGTTTTGAAACATAACATTCCTTTCTTTTTGTTAATTGTGTCAGATCTGTACAATCCTTTCCGTATGTCTTCACAATCTTTATTCCATACTTTCACACTGTAGTTTTATTCCTTATTTTAGTTTTTATGCTGAGATCTTCTTGCCTAAGCAGTGTTCCCATTCTTCCCTGCTTCATTCTCCTTGTTTCCGTTAACATAGCTTATGGTCACTCCCCTTCCGCCCTTCTTGGATCCTCAATCCTTGGAATTCCTTCTGCCTGCTTTGGAGTCTACAGTATCCATTAACAGGGCTCACTTCTCCCTTCTTCTCTTTGCTCTATCCCTTCACTATCTGTTTTTTCTTATCTCTTATTTAAAGCCTTCCACAAGAATACAGATAAATTTTCTGTGGTATATCTCTAGTCGGTCCTTCTCCCTACTCAAGCCAAGGTCTCATCATTGGCTCTCTCTCTCTCACTTGGTTTATTTGTAGTTCAGATCTAATAAGATGTGGCACCCTTTCCTCTGCTTTTCACCTTGCTCAATCCTCCATACATTGCTTGCATCTCACTCCACTCATTTCTCACAAGGTCTTTAGGGCATTCCTCTCACCTTAGAGTTTTGGGCAGAAAATGTTTGCTATCAATTGTCTCTCATTTCGTTACTCTTCTGGCCCCCCAGTGGCAGAGAGGTATGTCTGTGGACTTATACTGCTAGAAACTGGATTTTGATATCCATGATGGGCAGAGCACAGAGATTCTTTTGTGTAGCTTACTTCTTAACAACAAACAAAAACAACTATTTAGTCTTCTGTCTTGCCTGTTCCTGTGCATCATCTCATGTCCTTTTTTCCATATACCCTTGTCCCCTCTTAAATTTCCTTTTCATGCCCCTCTACCTATTCTTGATGTCCTCTCCTCCCGAAGGATTAGCCTTTGTCCTTCCCATTGGTGACTACCTCTCTTTGTAACTGGTTGGCTCAGACTCCATGGGGAAACTTATTTTCTTCTTTGCTAATCTAAAGACTTACTTCATGGCCAACCATAGATCACTGTCTCTCTTTTCACTTCTCTTTCTCCTTTTCCCCTTTGACACTCCATCTTTCAATACTTAACACCTCCCAAACTTTAGATCACACTGTCTGAACTCTTAGTTTTGAATGAAATGAAAACTTCTTCATGAAAACTGGAAACTAACATCACCTCATTGCACTTCTTCTCTGAACTACTTCTAATGATTCCCTGGTTTCAGATGAAGTGTTTTTTTTCCACTTACTTGATTGTTTCCTTTGGACTTTGGATGAGGACAGTTCATGTTTTGGATGCCTTTCTTCACATTCCAATAGCCTTGTCATCACAACATTTCCTTTGGTTTATCCACTGGTGATACGTTATACCAGCTTCAAACTTTACCCTTGACAAGGCTTTTTCTATTTATATGTTCAGCCAGATCACGAGGGCTTTTGCTTGCCACATTCACAATCTCAGCCTTCATTTCCATTTCTTTCTGGAGGATATGTCACCCTTCTATTAGTGGAGAGCTATTGCCACAGGATGATTACATTATGTACCAACACATTTCACATCAAATTTAATTTAGGTGGGTAATAGTTCAAGGCTAGTGGCATGCACAAAATATCAAGGGAAGGCTTGGAAGAAATAGCTACTTTATGCAGAGAAGTAAGTTTCTATTGGAAATACATTTTCAGGTTAGGAAAATGTTAACTGTATTTTTGTGGAATTTTATAGCCAGGAATTAATGATCACTGGTAATAGAATTCCAGTTTCTTTGATGGCCACTAGTGGCACCATGTTGTACTATTGCAAAAGCATATGCAAGTTTATCATTCTAGTGTGAATTTTGTTTTTAGTGTCACTGTTTTGTAGATTAACCTATTTCAACAGAAACTAAAATAACAAATTTCATAATCTTTTTCCAGTTACAAATGCTGTTGTTTTAACCCCCAGTTGTACAAACTTTGCTGTGCTCTACATTCTCCCTCATACCTGTGTTTAATTTCTACAATAAAAATTACATATCTAAAAATAAAAATACTTGATGAAGTTTTGTATTAGCAAGAAGAAGTCTTGCTTTCAAATTAAGAACATGTAAGCGAAGTTGTTATATTACCTATGCAAATTTACTATTT